ATGCACAGAGATGATACACTTTTTTTTTTTTTTTAATTCCAGTGTTTAACATGGTGCCAGGAAGACAGACAATACTAAATAAATATTTGCTAAGTTGACCTGAAGGGAACAGAACGCAGGGCCATTATTCACTCATTTCATTCAATAATCACTTATTCAGTGGAAGGCACTGCCCTAGACACTACAAGAGTTCCCAAGATAAAACACATGAACCATCCAGTGGTGTGACGGTTCAAGTAGTTGGATACCGCATGGCTGACTGTGTGGTTGGAGCCCCAGACACGGTGGCTTGGAAAATATACTGGGCAAATGTGCATTCATGCCCCAAATCCCAAAAGGAGGGAGAGATAGAGGAGAAAGAATTGTAGCATAACCACCCGCCATGGGGAATGCTTTCTCACTCTCTTTCTCTCTCCCTCTCTCTGTCTCTCTCCAGTGAGCACATACACTGTCTAGCTAGCAAATTTAAAATTAAAGATTTTAAGAAAAGAAAAGAAGGGACCAACAGCATAATGGCTATGTCGCTGGACTCCCATGTAGTCGACCGCGGCTCGAGTCCTGGACCTGGTGGCTTAAACTCACACCTGGTGCATCTGCGTGCATGCCCAAGATTCCGAGAGGAGAATAGAGGAGAAGGGATTGCAGCGTGGCCATCCCCCATGAGGGGTGATTTCTCGCTTTCTGTCTCTCTGTCTGTCTGGCGAGCGCACGCACCCTATAGCAAAAACCTCTCCAAAAAAAAAGAAAAGAAAAGAACACATGAACACAGACCTGCTGAGGATAGTAGCACAGCAGTAGGAAGGTGCTTTCAGCAGAGGTTAATTTGTTTTCAGCCAGCTCCCATTGGTACAGGGCAAAATGCAGGCAGTAGAGGAGGGTATGTGAATTGCTATGCCGTTCTGTGTGCTGGGAGCATCATGAAGGAGCTGGGCACAAAGAAAGCTCTAGAAGCAGCAGAGGCCTCATTCATCTACTTTACAACTTCAACCCAACTCCAAGAGACCCTCTACATTGCCACAGAGAAAACACTGCATTTCTGTCACTGGTGACACCAGGAGCTGGGCTGAGGTAAAAGGCTTCTCTATAAAGGCGATTTTACTGGAAAACAGAACCACATGAATTAGAAGTGAAACCTCACAAACGCTGATCTCTATCTACCAAAGTGGAAAGCACCCTAAGAATGCTAGAAGAGCTTTTTTAACCTGACAGACTACTTACTCCCCTCAGTCACAACATTCATTCTCAGCCGACTTTTTCCTGGAGGGAAAGATCTTTTTGAAAACTAGAGAACTTAACTTTCTCTTCTTCTTCTTTTTTTTTTTAACTCATAAGTTTACTTATAATCAATTATAAGATAAATCGATGTTTGTTTCCTTTACTGATTTGTCTATGCTTATAGGAGCTTGCGTTTTGGATTTCCTCATTTTCCCTCATTTTTATGCTAATCTTTCACATCCTTTATCTCCTCTCTCTCTCTCTCTTTCTTTTTTTTATTTGCCAGAGGATGCATATGCTCTGGAGCAACAGAGAAATGAGGAGTAGGGGAAGCAAGAAAGCAACCCCTGTGGGGAATGGCCACACCACAATCTTTCTTCACCTCACCCTCCTTTTGGGATTTTGGACATGCATGCACATGTGCCCAGTGTGTTTCTCAAGCCACCAGGTCTGTGCAGTTGGCCATGTGGGATATAGTTGCCTTCACCATGAGACCACGGCTGGTTCCCTTTATGTTCTCTTTAAAGTATGATAAATCCCAGTGATCTGGATTCCATCAATTCAGAATTTGAATTAGATTTTTTTTTTTTTTTTTTTTTTTTTAGGTTTTTGGTATATTGTTGGATTTTAGAAAAATAATGTTTAAACATAAATCACCTTATACTATTATTATTTAACTAGATTGTGAGGGGAGAATGCAGGAAATATCTTTTTGTAGTTATTAAAATAATCCCTCAACAAATATTGATCAAGTACTTGATATGTGTCTGGCCTCATTCTAGGCTTAACAGATAAAGCAATGAACAAAAGAAACAAAAATTTTTGCTTACATTGTAGTTTGAACAAGCGAATGAATTTGTTATTGACATATATACAAGAGCTAGGAAATTAGTCCTTCTTATTAGAACATATTCAATATCTCTTTCTAGACTTGTAAAAAATTACTATATTACTTGAAGATAAATAAATAAAATGATTGTCTATAATATCCTATGAGTGGGGACCAGCAAGTGGCGTGATAGTTAAAGTGCTGGACACTCCCACATGGCTGACCACAGTTCGCGTCCCGGACCTGGTTGCTTGCTTTCTCACTTCCCCTCTCTCTTTCTCTCTCTCTCTGTGTCTCTCTGTCAAATTAAAAACACACGAATGAATAAAGTTAATAAAGAATTATTTTATTTAACTTTATTTATTTACATACTTATTTTAATTTGACTGGATAGGGACAGAGAGAGAAAGTGAGAGAAAGTGAAAAAGCAAGCCGCCAGGTCTGAGACTTGAACCACGGTTGGCCATGTGGGAGTCCAGTGCCCTTAACCACCATGCCATCTGCCAGCCCCTAAATAATGATTTTTTAAGGCTCTCCCTTTACTTTTTCCCTGTCCTGTATCAATCAGGAGTGATGTGAGAACCAGCCAAACTTGCAGAAGAATAGTAGCCAGTCAACCAGGGTCAGCAGGTCCATGAGACACTCTCCACTTCTAGGAGATCATGAACTAGGCATTAGGCTTTCTCTGTCAATCAGGCACTACCCGGTTTATCTGTGAGTTTGAAGTGTAGGGTTTGCTCTCACATTGCTCTTATTTTTAAATGTAAAAAGTTGACTTAGCAATGAAACTCTAGTTTTCTTTCTTTCATGACCTCTTCACTTTTGGGGGACTATTTTACACTAGAGGTAAGGGGTAGAGGTTAAGCCTCCAACTGTGGAGCTAGGGAGATCTCTATCAGAATCCCAGCTCCCTTACTTCACAGTCAAATGACTTTGGAGAGGGAAAGCGAGCTTCCCAGGCTATCTGCAAAAGTGGTAACAATAATAATAGCTCCATTCCAAGGTTGCGCTGAGAACAGAAGACAAATGCACAGGAAGATCAGCACATGGTACTCAGGGTATTGTATACTACTCGCTGGTGTGACTTATCCTTGATGGCAGTGCTTCCGTAGTTCTAGGGCTAATGACAAACAACGGAAATGCACTGCTCACAGTTCTGGAGTTTGGTAAGTCCAAAATCATGGCACCCGTAGACAGGGTATCTGGTGAGGGCATCTTGCTCTCTGCTTCATAGATGGCATCTTGGCTGTGTCCTCACATGGCTGAGGAGCAAACGAGCTCGCCCAGGCCTCGTATAATTGCACCAATCCCATTCAAGAGGGCTCCCTCATGACCTCATCTTTTCAAAGATCTCAGCTTTTAAACTATTTCACTGAGGGTTAGGCTTTAACATAGGAATTTTAGGGGGACACACTGGACCACAGCAGTATATCACGAAGTTGTATAGGAGGTCAAATGAGGTAGCAGATATAAATTTCTTGTGCTTGTCAAACAGTAAAGGTCCAACGAATGCCTTTTTTTTTAAGTAGTTGAAGAAAGTACACTTCAAATACACTACAGGAAAAATTCTTTTTTAAAAATTTTATTTTCTGGACCAGCAGTTAGTGTAATGGCTATGTTGCTGGACTCCCACGTAGTCAACTGTGGTTTGAGTCCTGGACCCGGTGGCTTAAACTCATGCCGGGCACGTGTGCGTACGTGGACAAGATCCAGAGAGGAGAATGGAGGAGAAGGGACTGTGGCGTGACCATCCCCCCTGGGGGATGATTTCTCACTTTCTGTCTCTCTGTCTCTCTCTGTCTGTCTGGTGAGCGCACACGCCCTATAGCAAAAACCTCTCCAGAAAAAAAAAAAAGAAAAAAATATGTTTTATTTTCTAGAGAAAATATTGCTATAGGGCACATGTGATCGCCAGGGAGACAGAGAGACAGAAAGCGAGCAAATATCCCCCAGGGGGATGGCCACACTGCAATCTCTTCTCCTCCATTCTCCTCTTGGGATTTTGGGCACTCATGCACACATGCCTGGCGTGTGTTTTAAGCCACTGAGTCTGGGATTCGAACAGTGGTCAGCTATGTGGGAGTCCAGAAACATAACCATTACGCCATCTTCTGGTCCCCAGAAAAAAATTCTTAAAAAAAAAAAAAAACTAAGCTGACAGCCCAAGAAACATGGATAGAGTAATCAGTTTGTACAGTTTCCCCACAACTGTTCAGATTTTAAAGTATTGAAGGGGTTTTTGTGTCTCAGAAATACAGTCACTCTTTATCAACACTAAATTTAAGATGTGAGGGTCATTATTACGATTAAAAGCTTCCATAAACTTAGTGCTGGCTGTGGAATGACATGGTACGCACTTTAAAGCCAAATTCTACTTCATTAATTAGAATAAACCTGTGCATTCCGTTCTACTTTCAAGCCCATTTTAATTTTTATTTACTTACTTAATGAAAGATCTTTGCTTCAGGGTGCATGTGCTCCCCAGAGAGACAGAGAGAGGCAGAAAGTGAGAACTCACCCCCCAGGGGTTGGCCACACCACAATCCCTTCTCCTCTCAGGATTCTGGGCACACATGTGGACATTCCCGATGTGAGTTTTAGCCACCAGGTCTGGAACTCGAACTGTGGTCAACTATGTGGGAGTTCAGCGATGTAACCACTACGCCATCTGCTGGTCCCTATGCCCATTTTAAACATAAAGAAATGGCAATTTAGAGAGGTTGTATTGTCTAACACCTAGAAGGAGAGTAGAGCCGGGACTTAACAGTTTAACATCGTGTTGTGCTGTGCTCTGCCATCATCCAGCCCTTGCTACCAGCCACACACCAGTGAATAAAAGCACAGAGAGAGAATGGAATGCATTGCTCCACAGAAGGCAAACATGAATGTCCAGAAGAGGGCGCTGGTCAAAATGAGAAAGTAGGGGATTATCAGGGTACACGTTTGATGTTTGTGTCTAATTTCTTGGTTCTCTGCTGGAGGCGGAACCCTAGCGGAACTGGAGTGGAAATGTTTTTGTGAAACTGCTAAAGAAGGAACCTACCTTTTTACATGCACCACATACTTTGTGTCTATGTGGGTGAGCCTCCCAGGATTCCAGGTGCAAGTCATGTTGCCTGAATATTCATGTATGACACAGGTTACCTCGTCTGGAATATCTGGTGGATCTGCAACAAAACAAATCACTTAGGAGCTGCCACAAGAAACATGAAGTTCTGGTGTTTGTTTTTTTGTTTTGTTTTTGTTTGTTTGTATTTTGTTTGTTTTTTCTGAGAAAGAAAGAGAAAGAGAGCAAGACCCCCAAAAGGGTCTCCACACCAAGATCCACCTAGGGTCTCAGTGGGTTTGGATCATGCACACACACTTGCAAGACCCAAGTGCTCAGGGAGGACTAAAAGAATGTGCCTTACTGTTCATAATAATGAAAAAATTGGAAACAACCTCAATACCCCTAAATTAATTCAGATAGACTAAAGTACACCCCTAAGGTACATTTAAAAATAATATTTTAGAAGAATTTAAGTATCTGGTCTTTGGAAGCATTAGAAACATATTTAATGAACTGAGTAATGGTCATATGATGAAATGAAAGAAAGCAGATGGCAAAGTAGTTTAGTATAGGTCAGCAGGTGGCATAATGGTAAGGCACTAGACTCCCACATGGCCGGCTGGGGTTTGGTCTTGGACCCGGTGGCTTGATAATCACACCGAGTGCATGTGTGTGTATGTCCAATCCCAGCAGAAGAATAAAGGAGACAGGACTGCATTGTGGCCATCCCCCAGAAGGGTGATTTCTCACTTTCCCTCTCACTATCTCTCTAGAGAGCACACACGCCCTAAGTCAAAAACCTTAAAAAGGAAAGAAAGGAAAAGAAAAAAAGAAAAGAAAAGAAAAGAAAAGAAAAGAAAAGAAAAGAAAAGTTTAGTGTATGGTTTCATTTGAGAAAGAAAAAGAATGAGAAAAGGAAAAAGAGAAAGAGAGAGAGAGACTAAAATTTGAAAGACATATTCTCCATGTTTTTTTTTTTTTTTTTTGAGAGGTTTTTGCAATAGGGTGCATGAGCTCGCCAGAAAGACAGAGACAGAGAGACAGAAAGCGAGAAATCACCCCCTCGGGGGGGAAGGCCATGCCGCAATCCCTTCTCTTCCATTCTCCTCTTGGGATCTTGGGCACACACGCACACGCACCTGGCATGAGTTTAAGCCACCAGGTCTGGAACTAGATCTGTGGTCGAGTACAGGGGAGTCCACGATATAGCCATTACACCAACTGCTGGTCCCAGAAAGATATATTCTAAAATTTTTTAAGGGATAATGGGGATAAAAGATATTTCTTTTTTGCCAGTCTCAAATTTTTTTTTAATTATTTTATACATTCGATCACTGTAAATCACTATGACTTGTAAAATAAACTTACCCAATGTGAACCCACTTCCCATCAGTCCAATTGAAGATATCATACATGTTATCATCAACAGACAATCCTCCATTTCTCTGTCCTTCAAATGTCTTGCCTCCCTATTTTTCTCCTTGATTCCTTTCCTTTCATTCTCCTCCATCTCCCACCTTCTTTCCATACTGTCTCTAGTCTTGGACCAACCTCAATAGGCCAGATACACTGGTAGCCTATAAGCCAAGCTAACTGAGAGACTGAGACAGAGAATCACAAAGGCAAGACCCTGTCAAAAAAAATACCTTTCCTTGGGGCCAACAGGTAGCATTCTGGTTAAGGCACTGGACTCCCATATAGCCAACCATAGTTCAAGTCCCAGACCTGGCAGCTTGAAAATCACTGTGTGTGTGTGTGTGTGTGTGTGTATGCCCAAATTCCCAGGAGGGAGAATGGAGAAGGGACTATGATATGGTCATCCTCTTGGGGTATGTGTGGGTGTGTGTGTGAGAGATTGAGGTGTGGCCAATCCCCCTGAGGAACGATTTCTCACTTTCCCTCTCTCTGTCTCTGTCTCTCTCAGGCAAACTCCTGAGCCCTGTGGCAAAAACCTATTTTTAAAAAATCCCCCACCTCACTCTCTTATTAAAACAACATTTTAAAAGATGGTTGAAATTTAAGTCAAAGATGCTTAAAAGTTTAAATAAATGATGAAATGAAAAGATGACTGTTCGTGTATGAATTTTAAAAAATAAATTTATTTTATCCATTATAGAAAATGCTTGTGTGTGCATGATGAGAGAGAAGCAGAGAGAAAGAGCATTCTCAACAGGGTCTCGTCATGCTGTAGTCCCCTTCCCCCAGCTCTCAGCTCATCAGGATCTTGGTCCCAGTATATTTCCAAGCTGACCCAGGAATCTGAACCCATAGTCAGTCACGTGGATTCCAGCACATCCATTTTCTTCGCTACTGACTATGCCATCAGGCGGAGCCCTGTACGATTTATGTTGATTTGTTTTTTTAAGTGAATATATTTATTTTGTAATATTTTATTCCACGATTGCCGTGACCCCAATTAGAACAAATTTCCCACAATATGTGTGTGTTTCCTTATAATTAAGAATCAAAGCAGTTTCTAAGATTGTGGCCAAAAAATGGAAACTACAATAATGTAGTTTATATTTTACTAATTACATGTTCAAGCACATAAACTTTTAAGTATATTTGGATATCTCTTCATGGAAACAATGACTCATTTTCCTTCTATCTTTTACAATTTGTGTGTCGTCTAAAAAAATACATATAATCATTTTGTTAAAAACAGTGACAATAAGTTGACATAGTAAAGCTCACAGGACAGATATCCTGTGATCAAAGTGATCCAGTGAAAGCAATGTGATTTCTAGAATACCGCAGAAACCTTCAAAACCTTCTCTATCTTTTTTTTTTTTGACCTATTTAAATAGAAAGTTTTCTTTGCTAAAAAGGCAGAGCCAAGAACACATTCAGCTTGAATTCAGGACTTTGAGTAAATTCTTACCTAGTGATTACATTTTCACACTCATAACCAGAGGTCTATGTAAGAAATGACAATTCCCAGATTAAATAAATGGAAA